TGACGTCATCACTGCTGTCATCACTGCTGTCACCACAGACCGTCACTTCTGAGCTGATCAGAAATCAAATAGAAAAGTTGTGTTTTCAAAGGAGCATGATGAAAGTGAAACGTCCTGTTTTGATCCTGCAGTCACAAACATTTAACTTCTACTTCAGATTCTGATGTCGTCTGTGCAGCAGCACCAAAACAAGCGGTGGAAGCTGATGTACAAAGGTGGAAAACCTCTTTATCGTCTTTCCAAAAACAAATAAGCACATTTATATATAAAACTTTCTGCTGCTGGCCTCTGTCTGGCGCACGCAATGATGATGCAGTTAATAGTGACTATTCTCTTTGACGAATCAGTCGTGTTGTCACGTAACACTTTTACGGAACAACAAAAAGATCACAATTTGCCACCTTCCTGGCCTGTTTCATAAAAAAAATAAATAAATCAGCATCTCAGCTTTCGTCTGTCTGGAAGCGGCTAAAAAAACATTGCTCTATGTGCTCATGTAATGTCACTTTTTATGGGGCCCAGTGTCCCCAAGGAAGCGTATCATAACTTATCAGAAGACGCGTGGTGTTAAATTATTATGATCTCCGCTCTGTCTTTTCCAAAGCCAATAAATTTTTCACTGTTATCACCCATCTGTAAAGAACATGAAGTATGAGCTTCCATGCCTTAGCCTATGAATTCACTTATGGTTATCTCACACAGCTGCTATAGCACGGTGCTAATGTCGCCGCCTTGTAAGGCACAGCTCGGTGGGTCGTGGGTTTGCACCCTGCTCATTTTCTGTTTTTGTCTGTTTTTCTATTAGTATAATAAATAAATTGTGTTTTCCTCTATTCAACATTATATACCAACTGCTTACTATATAAGGTGCAACATCTGCAGGCTATTTTGAGAAAGCAGGATGGTTGGTGTGTGCAACGGACTGACCAACGAATACACAGGTTGTTTGTAAAAGCTTTGAATCTGCAGGTCTTGGCTGCACAGAGGCACAAGCGAGCGGACCACATGATGCTGATCTGGTAGAACTTCTCCTCAAATAGCAGTGAGGAGCATTTCCGATTATTTCAGCTATCTTCATGACATTGTGGATGGACTTCCTGTCCTGTGGAGAGGCGCGGCCCTACCACAGTTCTGTTTTCAGCCGCTTTCTGCACTCAGTCCAGATCTTTTTAGATTTCTCCACTGACTGCTTTGGTCTAACTGAACCAAGACTGGTTCCTTCTTTAATTGACCTAATCTAAACACTAGGTGGCACAAACACACCATCACTAAGTTAGGCTATTGGACACGTACATTGTTGTTTATCTGTAGATAAATAGCATCAGAACATAAATCACCCAAGATCATCACACACACTTCAATTCCATTTGTTTATCGTGCTAGAAAGAAATAATAATTAATAATAAAGAAACAAATGCAAAACATTCAAGACATTTTATCGATGTGAACCATCCAGTGCCTTCTTCCCATGATGTGAACACATTTGATGTTCTCCCTCACACCTTCCCAAAGCTGAGAGACCTTTTCAGGGCCAGGAACGTAAGTCTTCTGAACTCCTCTTCTTCTGTAACCCCTCTCGGGAGGAAGAGGCAAAGGCTACTTGTTGATGAGTAAGCTCCCATCCTCCTGATTATAGACGTCAGGCTGTGCATTTCTGTGGGAACCCAAGAGGGGGGACAGAATCGGCCCCTGTCAAAAACACCAGCTACTCCTCAAAGGAAATATCCATGTCCTCCTCTGCTGAGACACAGACAGACAGTACAATCACATGGCCGTTAAAAGAACTAGTCATAGTTGTATGCAAGAACTTCAAGAGAATTCACTGGTTTCCAAGGTGGGAGAGGGAACCATACATCATCATTTTTTAAGTGTCATCTTTCTATCAAAGAATTTTTCTATGGTATCAGAAATACGATAAAGTCATTATGTAGAAAATATTCAATTGTACTTATTACAAACTGCTAGCATTACACACCTTGAATGGACACCAGCCAGCACTCCCTCTGGAAGACGTCTGTTCTCTGTGGTCGTTGCCCCGTGGACTCCAGGATATTGTGACGAGATTCCTGATGTCCTTCCTGGAGAGTTTCTGTGTTGCGTTTGTGAACTACGGGAGGAACTCTCTCCAGTTCATCGCCACCATCTCCCACATCTGGCCACATGAATTCATCCCGGTAATGAACTGTTGGACCATACTGGCCTCCCTTCACACACTGATGAATGTCAATATTTTCACATCAATAACACCTGCTCAGTTGTAAATAGTCTCAAACCGTATGACAGAAACTGTCAACATGACTACAGTGTTCACCAGTTAATATTCAGTAACTCCTACAATTTACACAACCAAAGACCAAGAGATTACATATTGTTTTTTTGGGTTTTTTACCTGTGGTACAAGTAATGAGTAAGTATTTGCCAGTGAGGTGTCGGCAGGTCCCTGATAGAGGCTGTGTAAATGTTTGGCTCAGTCAGCAAGCAGTCCCCCAGTGTGCCTTTGAGCTCCTCTAGCTCCTCATTGATGCTGCATCTCACAACCTGAGTAGACCAATAAACAAGTTATATTGGTACTCAGTATTAAGGTTACTGTGGACAAAACATGTCTGAACTGTTTCAAGATATAAGATAAAGACTATATCATATAGAAAACATTAGGGTACTTTTTCAAGTTTAATGTCTGACTCCTCTTCCTGGAAAATATCCAGGTCAAAGGAGGTCATCTGCGGCTTCTGGCCACACATGGGCTAAAATAAATCTTTGTTCAGGCCATTGTGGATGGTGGACGAGGCCACTAGCTTTCCCGCAGTGTAAAACTTCTTTTGTGCCTGCGCAATTGGTCATAGCTGAAAAGCAGCCGCCCTAGTCTTTCTCTGAAAATGCCCATCTTTTCCTGCAGTTCAATCATGAGGAGTCTGCAACAGAAAGACAAGACATCTATCAATTGGTCTTTAAAATAATGGCACATCTGAAAAGGTACCACGACATTTAGAGGAGGAGCCATCAAATTTTTAATTAACTCTGCTATCTCCCCAACGAACTCGACATGTGGCTGGTTAAACAGCTCCTGCTTAGAGCAACACATGCCCTTGTTGTTGTTTTTGCAATGACTGTGATAATGCAACTGAGGTGTGGATGGTCATTTTAATTGTCTTTCAAAATGTCAGCCAGACATCTGACATCCCGAGAACAAAACAATGACACACAATCATAATCAAGCCGTATAGGGTGTACAAATTTAGATAAAATCCTTCATTTGCATACATTGGGGCTGTTGCACCTGAGTTCAGAGGAGTCCATGAAGAAGTCTTCCAGAAGATCCAATGTGATTATTAGAAGGCAGTTTAAATACGGCGTGTTGTGATTGTGAGGAGCTCTCCAGTTTGTCCTGAGGGACGAACAGACTGACAGTGACAGGAAGCAGCCAGCAGGAGGCAGCAGAGGAGCTTCAGTTTGTTCAACAGATGATAGTTTTCACTTTAAAGTCACTGGAGGAGCAAACTGTGTGCAGAGGGTTTGTGTCCTGTTACCTTTAATAGAAACAACCAGTCCTCCTATAATGGAAGATCAGCATCCCAGTAAGGTTGTTGTTATTTGATTAAACGCCAGTTTATTATGGAATAAACAGCATGTGAGTAAAAAATATCTACTGAAATATTAAAGCTGTGTAATGATAATAAAGATCATTCAAATCTGATCAGAACAGCTGACTTCAGTAAAATCGTCGCAGCAGGCTGACGGCGCTAAACCAACTTCAACAACTTATTTCGGTTAAATTTAGATATTTCTTTAAGACGTTGACTGGTTCAGCTATTAATTTATGAAAAAGTGACAAAAGTATAATTACATTTATATTGATAGTAAAAGACTAGGCTATAGATTATTATTATTAGACATTTTATGTAGAGGCGCCTTTCAGTACATTGAAGATCACCTCACAAAACACAATAAAACAACAGCATATAAATAAATCTAAAATTCCAGTTCATAAAATCAGGGTACATAAACAGTTGGAAATAAATGAGTGCTGTGACCAGATGAACTGTGATCACGTTAAATATGCCAGTTTAATATTCTGTTGCTTTATGTACTTTTGTTTTGGCTGAAGATTTTCATATGAGATGAAAAGATTCAATGAAAACAGTAATTTTGTTTATCGGGCATTTTTTATTAAATAAGCGGTGTTGTTAACCTGTGAATGGTGATACAGAAATGTTGGTGTAGTTTCTGGATTTAAAAATCCAACATGTTTACAGGCGAAGTCACACGTTTGAAAGAAAGGTTCCCCATCGTGCAGCAAAGGCTGTTACACACCTTCAACAAGCAGCACTGGAGGGTTTAATGCTGCGTTCGAGACCGGTCGGAACTGGGATATTTCCCAGTTTAAACTCCCTACATCAAAGTGTTCCAGGTCCACGGTGGTGCATGACGCAGAAAGTGAACGAAAACCGCGGCTGACCGTGACAAAGTGTCCACACAGTTGCACCCTCAGCAGTGCTTTAGGTGTTAATCAAAAGGATGGCAATTTAACTGCAACAACTGACATAAATAGCCTTACTAGTTAACTGTGTACCCCTCTAGCTACATCAGCTGGTAGCCCTCAAGTCAGTCAGTGTTGTAGGTTACACTCCCTAATGTTTTGGCATTTTTAACAATAACTTTTATGCAGAGAAGACTTTGAGATTCTTTTCTGTAGCCAGCTACCTAATAACATATTTCTACATCAATATACATGCAGAACAGGTTTTACTATATGACCGTATGTATTATTTTAATTTAAATACATGCAAATATACTTTTTGTTGCCTTTTAGTTTATGGTTTACCATTAACGTAAACATTAAGTGCGCTTCCATGGGCGCCGCCATTGTTTTGTGACGTCATTCAGCTGCTACTCGTGACGTCGGGTTACAGATTTTTACTCCAAGTAGGAAATCCGACTTCAGGTGGCTTCAAGGATAGTTTTTCTAGTTTAGGTCGCAAGTTTCCCAGTTCCGAGTTTCCTGGAACGCAGCATAACAACCCGCTACCACTCCGGCCTCAGTGAGGCGGACCCTCAGCGTGAACGCGCAAACGGAGAGGACGTACTTCCGGAAAGGCCCTCAGCCTGAAGAGCTCCGAGACCAGAATCCAGACTCAGTCCAGGACAACACGGTCCACCAGTCACAGCGGAGACCTGCAGGACGATGGAGAACCAGAACCCGGACCACAGGAGCCAAACAGCAGCCTCGAGCTCTGATAGCGCCGATGTTCAGGTCAGTGTTCATGACTTCATCACGAGACTAAAGACACGAGGAAGAGTCTCGAGGGTCCGTGTATCATCCGTTCATTCTGTTGTTAAAAGATCAGAGCCTGAAAACCCGCTCCAGGGTTTGTGTTGACGTGGTTTGATTTCCAAAGTGTCTCCGTGGTTCCTGTTTTCATCTTGAAGAGAGGAAGCTGAAAGAAAAACTCACGAGCGTTTCTCTTTTCTTTGTTCTGGGAGTTTCGCGCTCGGCGCATGCGCGGTTTTCCTCCACTGGTGCTCAGCTTTTCTACACATCCTGTGTTGAGGTTTGGCCTGTGGGTCGCTGCTCCTCTGTCTTGTGTTTAAGTGAGCAGATGGTCTCTTCACGTTTTGTCCTCAGCAGAAGAAGCTAAATGTGGCCGCTACAGAAGCTCACTGCCACAGACATCTTTGGTCTGTGCTCAAACGGAGGTGCAGAACGAATCTCTTGCCGTCTTCTGTATGTATCACAACATGAACCTTGGTGCGGACTTCCAGGTGTGAAAGACCCCTTAGTCACCACAAATATTATTATTTTAAATTTTATATCTGCTTCGTCCCTTCCTCTGAATTCTCCTGCCTAAAAGACACAGAACTCGTCTTGTTTCCGTATATTTTTCCACCCGCGATCTATTATCATGGCAGCAGGTGAGCCGCTTGTGGGCTTGTTCATAGGCGCAAATCCTGGAGGGTCAGGACCCTATCTGAGGGGTGTCCCCCCCCTTGAAAACCATTAAATAATATAATGATTAATACTTAGAATAACTGTGTAAATAGTAAAACAGTACGAACACAAACGGGGCAATTAAAGTGCGTTTTCAGCTAGAAACATTTTGAGTCCCCCTCTCTGGTCTCACAGTGGTTTGGTCCACTGTCTGCTTTCTCTCTCACGGTGGCAGAAAACCAGGTCTGATCCGTCAGTAGTTGTGGAGCTCCAGTAATGTTAAGCAGGCTGCAGGGCTGTTTTATGCACTTTGAACATCGGATGAACTTTTCTTTTTTTACTTTACTACAGATGATGCTGAGTCATTAATAAATTAATGATGACAAAAAGTTATGATAATCGATCACCTTTTCCATGAGCCCACTGTTATTAAAACATCACCTTGCTTGTTTGGCAGCTTGTTTAACAGCTTATTGGACTGGAACTCATCTTCTACAGATAGAGATGAGCTGATTGATCAGCTGGGGACCAAAATAGGTCGTTTATTTTCACTTACTCTGCTGTGACCAGTGACCGGGGCCAAGCAGTGTCAAATATCCAGTTTTCTGCCAGTCACATTGAACGTAACAAACACGCTGCGCCATGTTTCACATGTGTGCACAGACAGTAGCCTCATGTCACAGCCACACACACACAGGCTAAAACATGGCTTAGGTGTGTGGAAGTTATTCACGAGAGTGAAGAAGAGTCGACACTCACTACATCTGCAGAGAAACACAGAAAGAGACGCTGTGGATTTTGTAAATCAGGGAGTAGGTAAAGACACAGTGACGATGTCATTCAGACCACGGTGGTCTCTATCGGTAATTAACAACAAGCGGCTCATCTGCTGCTGTGAAAACAGAATAACGGGTGAGAAGATACCAAACGTGAGTTCTTTTAAATAAAACTGCTGACAGATAAAGTCAGAGCAGACAGAGAGAGAGATGGCAGGTGTAGGTGTGTGCTTCTGTGTCTGAGGGGAAAAGCAAGGTGAGCAGATTACTGTGGTTTGTGATTAAACACTAAAATTGTAGACATAAAATGGTGAGATAAGAAATAGGATAATTTATCAAATATTTTTAAGTAAAAGATGTTTAAAAATGGCCTAGTTTATTGGCTACTGCAATTTATTTTCAGCTCCTTCCAGTGAAAATGTTGTTTTATTATCAATGTTTCATTATGATACAACTGAGACCAGTGAGAATAGCTAACATTTATACTGGTGCTCATTATAAAAATAGATTTTTCCAATAAATGGTTACAAAAATATTTGTGAATGCTGTCAGTTATGGATCTTAGAAAGAAATAAAATTAGAATCGGCAGGTCAGACCTTTAAAAAAAATCAGTAACTGGAATCAGCCAGTAAAAATATAATCTGTGCATCTCTTACTACAGCGATGATCCTGTATGTGAACTGATATTTTGGATAATACTGTAGATTATGACTGTATACTGAAGACTATGTAGAGGACGCAAGTTAATTAGGATAATATGACCGCGTGGTGAACCTATGAACATATTTAAACAACTTTTACTTTGTGTTGTTGGCCAGAAAAACAGAACTAAGACTTCTCTCTGTGTACACGTATCCTGTACAAGTACAATTTTGGCTGTATTATTTGTGTCCCCCTTCAAAAATATGTTTATTTCTGTATAAACATATGTTTGTTAAATATGTTTATACCTACCGGTATCACCCCCGCCCCATCGCTAATCGTTCAAAACAACATCTGACCGGCCGCCATGAGCACTGAGAGAAATCCCAGTGGGCGGGTTGCTCTGCGGCTGCATGGGCAGCTCGTTTTACAAAAACGGCGAGAGACAATGCGTCAGCAGGTGAGGCGTTGAGACAGAAGGCAGCAGGGAGAAGATAAGAGAGGTTTGCGTTTGGCTAGCTGCCTCTTTTAGCTATGTCAGGTGCCTTATTTTGAAACGTTCGACAGTGTAATTTTTCTACATGCAACCAATAGCTGTTAGCCGCTCGACTCAGAATAGGCAAGTGTACGAAGTTCAGAAGGCCAGAGGTGCGGACAAGTTGGGGGACGAAGGCTGAGGACAGTGGCGCTGAGGTTAGCACAACAAGCAGGATCGGCGTGGTCAGTGAATTTTACAACAGCAACGGAGAGACAGGTGTGGATGAGACAAGGACGGTGTCTTTGTGTCGGCGATGCGCCGCTGTTGTAGAGTAACATTATGTGAATGTAAACATCCAACTTTCTAATACACGATGTCTATGAAGATTCTCAGTCATCCAGGTCATAGTTATCCAACGAAGGTTAAAATGAAGGGCAACTGGACTTGGTTGAAGATACTGGAAGACGTTTCGTCCCTTATCCAAAGGACTTCTTCAGTTCTGACTGACTGGCAGGGAAACTCAGCTATTTAACCTCAGTGGGGTCGTTATCTCGGGTCATCGATACCGCTGGTTCGTTAGTGTTCCTTGTTGCTGTGACGACAGTCGTTACAGTCGTTGAGACTACCTGTGGCCAAGACTGAACGACCATCGTTGGTATCTTCACCTGAGGCCAATAGGTTACGTTTGTTGAGTTTCCTGGGAAGTGATGAAAGGACAGCATTGTAAGTGGGGGATAAGTGGTGGCGTAGACCCCCTCCCCTGTTCAATGACGGCTTCTCAACCCTGGTGTAGATGCTTCCTTGACACCTCTAACCTAAGGGACGAAACGTCTTCCAGTAGCTTCAACCAAGTCCAGTTGCCCTTCATTTTAACCGTCGTTGGATTTCTAATACACGTTAAACTTAACTTACATCACCCAGATGCACCGGGACAAGGAAAAAAAATGGAGCCCAACTCCTCCTCCTCGCTGCTTTCAAGCCAATACTATATAATACTATATTTCAAGCAGCCTTTAGATGCAAAAACAGAACAGGATGAATAATCACATTACTTTATCTAGCCACGGTGAAACTAATTGTAACAACTCATACTGCACAATTTATTTGTTTTTTTGATTTCACACCATAAGAGTTCTTAGTGCAACAAATATTGTACTCATTTCACAGGTGTCATTAACACGGGACGCTGGGGAATATGTTCTGCAGAATGGCTTGCAACAAGAAATGTTCAAAAATAAATGAAATTGCTTTGAGAAGTTTATTTGCACAATAATAAAACATGCAATGTAACAAAAATATAGAAGAAACAAATGAGCATTTTCCAAAAAAGTAACAAGCTGCTAAGTATTATATTCTGTTTGAAATGTCATCTGAATTTTCTGAAAATGTCTCCAGAATGCAGGAAAGTGTTTCATGCCCAAATTTTCCCCCATTTTTATATCAGCATTGAATATTTCATCAAAATAGTGTTAAAATGTCTTCTGCTTCTCGTGAATCAAATATTGTGCATGTGAGGCCCCCTGTCCTGTAAACATACTGTACACACTCCTGATAATTATATTTCAGTGTTCAGAGGAGTCTGACAACTGGTTGTTAAAGAAATGAAGGCGTGACCATGGCGCTGAGGTCAATGAAGCAAATTAGGGATGCAATCTAGTCCTTTTAAGCTAATTAGGAGATGTTTCTTTTGGATTTTAATGAATGAAATACTTATACTAGTAATTATCCAGAGATCCTGTATATAAAAAAAAAAAGATGCATCAAAATGCATCGATAATTGTTTTGTAATCACATCGCAGCCCTCTGAATCGTACTCGATTCGTACCCAGAGATTCCCAACCCTAATAGTTATGCTACATTCACATATTGGATGACCGTGGATTCAGTTTTATTATTTGTGTGTAAATAACACACAATTGTTTTTACAATTGAAGCACATTTTGTCATTAGAGTAATTGTGTGGTGGATGATTGAAATTTATTAAGAGAGTTTTCCAAATTGAATTAATATCAAGGAATTTGATCAAAAAAATATAGAAATATTTGAATGTATATCGAATTATTTATGGGGACTGCTTCATAATAAATGTATTGCAAACAGTAAGTTGTTAAAATACTGTAATGCTATTTATACAATTAACAATGAATGAATTTCTGCGGTACATGTATTGTGAATTGGTACCTGTCAAACAGGACAGCCTCCATATGCTGCTGAACACACGGTAAGAAGTGGGTCTGACGGAGGCTACAGCTCTCGATGAGCAGCACCGATAAACACCAGAACAACATTGCGGAACTTAAGTTCAAATTAACTTAACTTTAGAGGCGACGAGCGAGAAGCAAATAAATTTCCTGTGTGGGAGAAAATAGCTTTACCTCGAGTGTTGTTGTTTTTTTGTAATATAGCCTAAAATATAAATTTTGTCATTCTTTTATGGGTAGCGAACCGCCCCGCCTTAAAACAATGTTGGTATAAGTGCATTTACTAATACAACTTTTTAAATACCGTTTGAGTATGAATGTTGCAATTAACATCTGTGCCAGGTCGGGAAAGTGGCCAGACACCGTCAGCTAGGGCTGGACAATATTGCCAAAAATGTTATCACAGTAAGTTTCATATCTTTCGATATTGATAATTATCACGATAAGTATCAAATCGTTATTTCTTTTCAGTTTAAAGGCTGATTTATCTGAGGTAGAACATACAAAACATTTATGATAAAATCTTTGTCAACAAATATCTTTAAGTAAAATTAAGCAAAAAGCATTTTTCAGTCCTTTTTCTTCAACAAAATAAACATCTTATTAAAAAATTAAGTGTTTGATTCAAGTGAATAAAATCAAACATTTATTGAATGTTAATATTGAGGCCTGAGCACGAACCGTGCGAGGTCCCTATTGAAACTGTAAGGATTTTTTTTCTTTTTCCTGCAAATTTTTTTTTCTTTTTCCAAATTTTGTACACATGTCACGCATGGGTGTTGCAAAATGACTCGCTAGCGCCACCTAGAAAATTGGAAAAAATTTGCCCCTCGTCCACATGGGACATGTATCATATCAAGACGCACAAAAAAGCCTCAAGAACCCATATCCTAAACTCAACAGGAAGTCGGCCATTTTGAATTTTACAGCAATTTTTGGACGATTTACACACTCCGTACTTTAACGAACTCCTCCTAGGGATTTATTCGGATCGACTTCGACTTTCTGCTGTGCCTTCTAAAGGCATTGAAGATGAAAAGTTGTGCTATCTGAGTTTTCGTTGATGGGCGTGTCCATGGCGTGGCGTCAAAGATCAACTCTTCGTCATGACACAGGAAGTTGTTGTAACTTCAGTGTACATGCTCACATCTGAACCAAACTTTACATGTAGGATGAGAGTCCCGCCCTGGACACGCCAATATTTATTTCTAGTCATAGCGCCAAGTGCTAGTTAGCACCACAAAGGGGATACAGGAAGTGACATATAACACCTTCATGCAGCGTCCGCACAGTTATTAGCTCAGCTCATTAGCTCAGCTCATTTTACGCAGCATAAATTAGCCTAGTGGCTAGCGAACTTTTCCTCTCCTTATAGCCTAACAAATTACATGTATTATTTATACTGTGTCTTACCTACCGCTGGTAAAGTCACTGCATCTCCCGACACAACACCACGGTTGAATTTTCAGCCTGAACGTACATTTTCTACAGCTGCAAGCCCTCCCAGAAACTGTAGAGATTGCATTGCAGCAAAAAAATATAGGTTTAGGGGAGACTTTATGAAACCCTGTCCACTATAAAATCATTATTGTTGGTCCCCTCTTGTAATTTCGGTCTGTTATCCCGGCTGCGCTGTCCACCAATTACTCTTTCACCCACACCTGGGACCAGGCTCTTAATTTCCAACAAAAGGAAATTCACACAGCTGCTGCACCCAAATCAATATGCCTCCTTCAAATATCATGCTGTCTCGGAATCCGCTCCGGTAAAGGTCTCTATGATTGTCAGGACAAGTGCGTAACTTTGTGAACGAGCTAGACACACTGCTGTCTTTAATCCCAGAGCATGACGTTACTTGTCCTCGGTGACGTGAACATTCACTTAGACAAATGAAAATCTGCAGACTTCCCGTCTCCGATTCAGTCCTTTGATCTAATACAGGCTCTCAGCCCCCCGACCCGCAAAGCTGGCAAGGTCACACCTCTACACATGTCTGACCACTGTTTCATCCAGTTCATGGTATGCCTACAGGAACAGTCCATTGTTCCAGCATCTTATGTCTCACAACGACGCAACCTTTGCAACCTGTCTCCCACTCACTTTGCCTCAGTGGTAGCTTCCGCTCTACCTCCCCTCAACACATTTTCCTCACTTAAGGTCAATAATGCCACACAATCTCTTTGCTCTACACTGAGCTCATGTCTGGGTAGTGACATGCCTGTGCCCTCTATCCACCAAACCTCCTTGACAGAAACAGTCCCACCTGAGACTACCCGATACCATCCGCGCGCTCCGTACTGATCTCAGAGCCGCTAAAAGAAAATGGCGAAAAACCAAAGACAATGCCGACCTTAAGGGCTATCAGTTGCTTCTGGTGCAAAAGGCTCAACACCAAGGCTAACATGTTAGCAGTCCTACTACATCTGTTCCTCTCTCCTCCCAGGTCAATGGCATTTCACACTCATTGTTTACTCCTCTCACAGAGAGCGAAGTATTAGGACTCTTGACCCATAGCCCTCCTACTACATGCCCACTGGAACAGATTCCTACGAATCTCCTACCGTGGTCCTGGCAATCATTCATGTGATAAATACTTCTCTGGCTTCGTGAACATTCCCGACCACTTTCAAAGGGGCTAAGGTTACACCCTTGCTCAAAAAGCCCTCCTTCGACCCAACTCAAGTTGAGAATTGTCTGCCAGTTTCACTTCTACCATTTCTATCCAAGACTATTGAAGTCAATAAGGGCAGTCTTCAAACGGGTCTCAGAATTTGTCTCACGGAATGACCTCCTAGATCCATATCAGTCTGGCCACTCTACTGAAACGGTTCTTCTGTCTGTAACAGAAGCCCTCAGGTCAGCTAAAGCTGCAGCCCAATCCTCGGTTCTTAGCCTGTTTGACCTATCAGCTGCCTTTGACACAGTCAACCACATGATTCTGCTATCCGCTCTCTCACCAATGGGCATCTCCGGCAAAGCATTCATGTGGTTCAAATCCTACCTCTCGGGGCGTTCCTATAATGTTTTGTGGCAAGGACAATTATCTTATTCCCACTGCCTCTCCACAGGGGTGTCCCAAGGCTCAGGGCCCTTCTCTTCTCAGTTTACAGCACCTCACTGGGGCTGATCATTCGCTCGCATGGCTATTCTTACCACTGTTACGCAGAAGACATCTCGGCGTCTCAGACTGTCTCTCGGACATATCCGCATGGATGAAGGCTTGCCACCTTCAACTAAACCTCTCTAAGACTGAACTCTTGGTCATTCCAGCCAAGCAATCTGTCCACCATTACATCAAACTACAAATTAACTCCTCAAGCATCACTCCAACCAAGGTGGTGAGAAACTTGGGTGTCATGATTGATGACCAGCTGTCCTTTTCAGACCATGCTGGTGCTGTCTCCATGTTGTGCTGCTTTGCTCTATACAACATCAGGAAAATTAGGCCCTACCTCACTCAGTACGCCACCCAGCTTCTGGTACAGGCCATGGTTATCTCTCACCTCGACTATTGCAATGCCCTTCTTGCAGGTCTCCCAGCTTGTGCGGTGAAACCCTTACAAATGGTTCAGAACACAGCAGCACATCTGGTTTTTGATCAGCCCAAAAAGACGCATGCCTCTCGGGGCGTTCCTATAATGTTTTGTGGCAAGGACAATTATCTTATTCCCACAAGCTCTTCAAAACTCATCTCTTCCAAGAACACTTCCTCTTATAACACAGCTAACTCCTAACCTCTAACATTTCTTCTTCTATCCCCTTAGAACTATGTTGTATTGACTGAACTTTTTTCCCTAGGTATTTACCCCATTGATGCGATATCTTCTATTAGCTGTTGTAGATCTTGTGCTGTATTTGATGCTTTGTTGATGCTTGGATGTTGTTCCTCAAATGTAAGTCGCTTTGGCTAAAAATGTCTGTCAAATGAGTTATTGTAATGAAGTTATTCCTTTCTTTGTATAAATATAGAACTGGCTACCATTAAGTACAATATTTTTACACTACTGTACCTTGTAATGTGTATTTAGAATACAGATGCAACAGTCCACTTTCATACTATTTATTTTTTTATTAAGTGCTTCTAAGTTTCACAAGCCGAGAACGTTGATTATGTCGACTAATCGTTGCAGCCCTACCTGATGTGCAATCTCAGTCCGACATCAGCGAGACTTGTGTGCTATCTGTGTTGAGTTAGAGTGAGCCTCTCCTTGACCATTCAGAAATGCACTGCAAGTCTGCATTGCAGTTTGGTTTTTCACGGGTGGTAATGCATTAGTCAAACTTGAACATTGTGGGGTGTGTTCCACAGACATGCTCTAAATGTCATCTATGGTTCTGAATAGTGGGATGTCACTGTGGAGCGAGCTAACTGTCTTTCTCTCTGTATGTCTGTCAATATAGAAACGGAGAGGAGGAGATGGACTCAAACGTCACCACTGTCAGCTCTGTGACAAATCCTTCACAGCATGCTGGTATTTAAAGATTCATCAGAGAGTTCACACTGGAGAGAAACCGTACAGCTGTGACCAGTGTGGGAAAGCTTTCACTACATCAGGTGACCTAAGAATCCACCAACGTGTTCACACTGGAGAGAAACCGTACAGCTGTGACCAATGTGGGAAAGCTTTCACTCAATCAAGTCACCTAACAATCCACGAACGTGTTCACACTGGAGAGAAACCGTACAGCTGTGACCAGTGTGGGAGAACTTACATTTCATCAGGTGCTCTACAAAAGCACCGACGTGTTCACACTGGAGAGAAACCGTACAGCTGTGACCAGTGTGGGAAAACTTACATTTCATCAGGTGCCCTACAAAGGCACCGACGTGTTCACACTGGAGAGAAACCATACAGATGTGACCAATGTGGGAAAACGTTTGCTACATCAGATGAATTAAAACAGCACTATCGTGTTCACACTGGAGAGAAACCTTACAAGTGTGACCAATGTGGGAAAGCATTCACTACATCAGGTCAACTTAAAGTCCACCAACGTGTTCACACTGGAGAGAAACCGTACGGCTGTGACCAGTGTGAGAAGTCTTTCTTTACATCAGAGAGACTAAAAATCCACCAACGTGTTCACACTGGAGAAAAACCGTACGGCTGTGACAAATGTGGGAAAGCTTACACTACATCAGGTCACCTAAATATCCACCAACGTGTTCACACTGGGAATAAACCGTACTGGTGTGACCAATGTGGGAAAGTTTTCTCTAGATCAAGTATATTAATTGTCCACCAACGTGTTCACACCCGGGATAAACCATACAGCTGTGACCAATGTGAGAAATCTTTCTTTACATCAGAGAGACTAAAAATCCACCAACGTGCTCACACTGGAGAAAAACCGTACGGCTGTGACAAATGTGAGAAAACCTTTATGCACTCTGGTAACCTTAAACGCCACCAACGCATTCACACTGCTTCGGTTTAAACATTTTTCAGATCCAAACAAGCTGTTTCCTCTTGCCCTGATAGCTGTGTTGTTTTATTAGCAAGCATAGTGTTAGCTCAGGCAGGCAATGAAGTCAAGCTCTGCTCTCAATCCAAGACCATCAGCTGATTCCTCTCTTAGCATTAGTTGTTAATTTGAATATAAGGTATCTTATATAAGCTGCTATAGTCTGCTTGCGCTTGCTGCTTCTTCTGCAAGCAGCTCATAAGCACTGGACACCTGTCCAGTTTCAGACGCTGATCCTCGAGGCCCAGCCCAGCAGCCCACTCCACAGTGGATAATCATCCTGACAACTTGTCCAGGATCCATTCATCGCTCACCAGCACAAACTATATTCAAGGCCTGGCAAGTCAAGTTTTCCTGGCACAGCTGGCTGTTTTCCTCCCCGGTTGCAGGCCTGTGACGCCCAGCGATTACTTCCCTCTGGCAGCATCGGAGGTATCACTGTCCCTCAGAGATCGCTGTGAAGAGCAGTTCCAGTCTCCTCTGTGGGTTCCTTTTGTTCTTTCTCCTGCCACAATCTCTCCCTGAGCTGAGAAAAGCTCTGGGGAAACATCCCCACTACTTCCTGTCAAATAGTTGATTGCAGGATTGGTTCAGGGGCCTGACTTGGTTGCCAAGTGTCATTTATTTGTAAAAATTAAGTCACATTAATTATCTTTAATGTAGTAAGCTTGCAAGCTTACGCTAAAGCCTCGAATGTACTCAAAGCGGACGCATACGCGCACAGCTGAGGACACCAGGGACTACTTCTAAACTATTGTCAGGTCGGCGGACTTGCGCCACACATGTGCAGTGTTTTTGTTTTTGGGCGCTTTCCATTTAGGCACGTGGAAGGGAGATCCCAGAACAGAGCCAAACATACCGGAAAAATGATTTACGAGCACAATGTGCAAGTAACCTATGAGAAAGATCAGGTGTGCCAGTATGTGCTCCTTCTTGCCTCCTCCTGAGAGCAACACGTTCCCCTGGTTTTACTAAAGTTATAGTAATACTATTCAGTAGTCTTGTTTATATCAGGTGTGTTGTGTGGGTGCTGCTGGTGGATCGTGAATCCGTCCCTGGTTCAAAAATTACACAAGCACCAATTACAGTAACGTTTATTGTGAGTGTTTTTAAATGCTTTTTTCAATGTATCAAATTTTCAAAACATCTGTTTCAGTATTTTAGAAATCCTTTACAAATTATTAAGGCCGATGCCGAGTGACCAGATAACAGGGTCTTCACTTCCGTACTCCTCCAATGGTTTCACAAGGAAAAGACAACACACGTAGAGTCAATATGTATATAATCAATAGTTACTTGAACATTTTCTGCTGTGTTCCAAAAAAGGTTAGCGTAGAGCCCTGCAATGGATCGGGCTCAGTTGTCATCTCCTCGGAGGAGGTTTACTTCAACTGTAAGTGTACTTCTGCGTCGAATCGACGGCATAGGGGGCTACGGCGTCGCCTGACATGCATGTCCTCAAAAATGTAACTACACGTCAAGTCGACGCGGACCGTAAGCTCTGTGATTGGTCGGCTGGGTAGTCTTGCAATGCCTCAGAGCCAACAGGAAGTGTCCCGTGCTTTGAAGTAACTTTTACTAGCGGCCAAAACAGCGTGCTGAAACACGGTGGATCGACCCCGAGCAAAATGACTCGTTCCTCTATCAGAATGTGATTCATTCGGTCGGTAACATTTGAAAAGGCTACACCTACCGCTAAATTAACGGAGCGCTAAGAATAAGTATAAATGCCTGGCCTACGCAGGAGTAGAAATCAACCTTAACTCTTCCCCTCCTGTGGAGCCTGAATCGGCTTTTTTGACACGCCATTTCATTTCCTTGTTCATACTGTGTCGATCTCAAAGCTGCAGATCATTGGCAGAAGGAAACAAAACGATCTAAATCATGGTTGTATTAGTTCGTTACCCAAACATGGTCTTCCACATGACTGCTTTTGGACAGAGGCAGCGATCTGTGGACATTGCGAGTCACCCTCAGAATTAAATATATGGGTGATGCTGTCCTTCATTTGACTCTGTGGACATTAAGGCAGCTGTCAGGTTGTCAGGCTAAAACATTTACTGTGGGCTACAACTTCAGTAATCACCATTTAAATCAAACTAATCTGTATTAAGCTGTAACCTAAATGAACAGTCATCTGTCATGTTGTGATTAGTCGCACTGATTGGATCGTAGTTATCGTGCTGGAGCTGATGTGAATGTTTCTGAGTGAAGATGACAGGGGTGCAGCTGGAACAAATAAAGTGAGTTTGTTAATATTATCTGCTTATAGTCTTAATGTGTTTTGACCACATTTTATTAAATATGAAATGAGCAAGATTTTAGAATAGAAGTCTAAAAGTCAGTTAGACACATTTTCCACAGAAAGAAAATAATGAATAGCCTGCTGTGTGGGACTGTGGCTTTACAATCACAGGTCCATGAGTAAACTGTGTCTAACGTTGTAGTGCATGTATTCTACATATACGTCTGTAGCATTAAATGTCTTATCTGTTTCTCTGGGTCAGACTCTGTAATCGCCCTCTGGTGTATGACACTCTTAATAAATATCACAAAGACAACTGTTTGTTGTAACTTCTTTATTTGTTTCTTCTTAAGGAAATATACAATTTCCACCACCGATCAGTTAAAAACCGCTCTGATAATAATGTCGCCTCCACCAATTTTATTTAGATTTTATAAACTTTAGTCCTGCCCTTAGGGATTCATTAAACTCGCCAGCCGCTTGGATCCTGAAGGAATTTCGCTACTCCCAACATAACGTCTTCATACCGACAGAAGACTCAGACGCACTGTTCTTTTACAGAGAGAAGAAAAAGCATCAAAGCGTTTTCTTTTTTCAATTCATTGCAATGGGAGCGCTGCGTTTTTACAACATGGTAAAAACGGCAGCAGCGTGACGAGGCGCTGAGCGCTCAGCCTTTTTTTCATCGCTGAGAATTGAAATATGTTCAACTTTGGGAAAAACGCAGTGCCCGTCACTGTCACTTTTTGCCCAGCCGTCCAATCACAGTGCGGTTTGCTGTGTTTATAAACACCACGCTGAGCCATGTCAGCTCTTGTACAAAATGTTAAGGTATTTGCTCGCCCGCATCTCATGAACCCACGTGTGGCGAGTCCGTCTTCTCTTCATGCAGAGCAAGAGCAAGTAGGCCTACATACTTTGTAGTGACATTTTTATATTTAGCCGGTTTGCCAACCGCTAATAAACACTAAAGAAGAAGAAAAATGGAACTCTCCTTCTTTGTCGTCGTGATAGGAGGCTGTTGTCTTGTCTGTGTTGTTTAACTGGCGCCCCCTCAGCGAGCGAGCTTGCTTGCTGACTAACCAGCTGATGTTATGGACGTAACGTTTTTTACATGGAGAGGTAAACCTCACAGAGAGAAGCAGCGTCAGATAGTGAACCAAGTGTTTCAGGTTTGTGAGTCCGCAGCTGTAACACTTGAGTTCAGTGACTGTATTGCTGGCTAGTTAGATGTTATTAGGTGAAATTATCTCGCTATTAGAGATGTTCGGCTGATTCTGAGGCTTGTTTCCTTCCTGTGATGCTGCACAGTTTCAGTAAATTGTGTCTTTTTTGAGCTTGTCTCAAATGACCATCTCAAGGCGTTTTACAGCTGATCTCAGCACATTAGTAGAATAAGAAGAGAAAATAATTGACAAATATGGCGATAAAGACGAGAGAGTATGAAATAGTATGATTACATTTCCTCCCGGTGACAAATATACCAAGTAGCCTATAGATGAATCTGCTGTAAAATAATTTAATATATTGGAAAAGTTAATTTTCTTCCATAATTTAATTCAAATATATACGCTTATAAATATTTCAAGCCTTTTTTCGACTTTTTTGTCCCACAGATGAGTTAGAGGAGGAAGGACAGGCATCACAGCGAGGGACAGCAGCTGGATTAACTGCATATTGGTGATCCATTCTACCTTATTTAGATACGGCGGGAGGGAGGCACCACCAAGAGTCCACCAGGCTGCAGGCTGGACCACCAGGATGCTCACAGCCAAATAACAGGGTCTTCACAGTAGACCAGGAAAACAAGCTGCAGATGTGCATAAAAACGGCAGCTGATATCTGATCCAAATGTGCATTAGCTGTTTAGTATAGTATAAATAACTCAACAATCATATAATAATAACAGCGGACCCTCTCAACTTGGACTGATCCTCGTTTTTGCTGAATTCTGATTGGCTGAATGGCACCGATCGAAGGAGTTACTTTCCATCTGGGGCGAGTTCAGTCCAAAACCTTTCGCACCTTGTTAGCTACATTTTGTCGGGCTGAACTCAGCCAGGTTTGTGTGACAAGTGCAACAGAGACAGGGGTGAGAGAACGTCTGTCTCCCTCGTTCTTCCTTTTGTTTCAGCTTGTTGGTTGACCGCTGACTTGAATAACATCAGGTCCAGTGCAGCTAACCTGCCGCCCAGACGCGCATTCACACCAAGGGTGATGCATTCAGTACTTGAATGAACATGTTTCCCTTGTCAATTTTTGTATAAACTTTATTAAATATGTGGTTTATAATGGATTGTGGTGCAGAGACAGTGACAGTGTTTCACAATCTTGGCTTACATTTCCCATGTTGTCAGTTGCCAAATCGCATTAACATATGGTTTTGCTGAATAATTAAGTAATTATAATTTCTTAATAAATCTACCTAAAGAAACCTCATTTCTTGACTGGCCACTCTGTGCTGTTTCAGAAGAGACACTTTTTGTGCTGTCTGTAGCCACCGTAGCTGTCCTGCGCTCTTTGAAAGGTTAGGGGGCAGTGGTAAACTGGACAGACAGTTGCAATTCACAACCCTCACCACTAGATGACACTAGATCTTACACACTGAACCTTTAAGATAAAAAATGCTACTGATTATAAAACCCAAACAGCATGCAGTTTATTTTTGGCCAAGTTTTCTGTTCTCTCCCTGTGAGGATGACAAAAGAGGAGGGAAGACTAAATCATGCCTACATGTGTGTTTCCTCAGCAGGGATGATATTACATGAGAAAAGTTGATTTACAGGAGAAACAGATCTGAAAGCTACACAGAATGCCTGAGAGCTGCACTGACTTAGATCCTATCATATTGATATACTTTGAATTGGCACCTGCCACCTGAATATGTTTCATTTACATAAATAAAAAAAATTCCACCATAAATTGGTGCAGAAAAGTTCACCAGAATGCAGGAAATTAAGTGTTTAATGAGCTAAATTTCCTGGGGTTGACTCATATTTCTCGGCATTGAAAATATCTTTAAAACACTTTTTAAGGATCTTTTTGTCTCGTTCCTGTGAACCTAACATCACGTAAACCTAACATTTCGTATTGTGGTGTCTCGCGAGCTACGTGTCTCTTCAAAGCCCTAATCTGCTCCCACCTCTTTTCAACACAAAGTGATGCCCTTGGCTACTCAAAGGGTTACAGTAATTGACGCGATTACCGTGACTGATTTGTTTGGTTTAGAAAGAGTGCAAGGCGAGTCCAATCATCTGCTTTCTTCTCTGTACTAAAGCAGTTGCAGTATGTAAAAGCAACTAAAGTGTTTAAATATCGTGGAAACATGAGAGGAATTGGCGTTCCACCAAACTGGAAAATTCTCGTTTAATTTGGCAAGATAGTCTTAAAACTTATAGGAAGGCCCTCTGTAATGCCAGAGCAGCGTACTACTCGTCATTAATAGAGGACAATAGGAACAACCCCAGGTTTCTTTTCAGCACTGTAGCCAGGCTGACAGAGAGTCACAGCTCTATTGAGCCAAGTATTCCCATAGCTCTCAGTAGTTACGATTTCATGAGCTTCTTTAATGATAAAATTCTAGCTATTAGAGACAAAATTCACCAAGAACTGCTCTCAACTGGCACCAACTTATGTCTAAACTTAGAAACCTTAGAAACAGCTGTAGAACAAGATATATGTTTAGACTGTTTTGCTTCCCTCAATCTTTACGAACTAACTTCAATAATTTCTTCATCTAAACCATCAACCTGCCTCTTAGACCCCATCCCGACTAGGTTGCTTAAAGATGTTTTACCCTTAGTCAGCACTTCTATACTAGATATGATCAATCTATCTCTATCAACAGGTTATGTACCACAGTACTTTAATAATTTATTCTCTAATAATTCTCTAATAAATGTGTGACTATAATGTCAGAGAACATTCAAGTGTTTTACTTGTAGATTAATCTCGGACATTAAATTCTGTCTCAGATTATTCCCCCTCTCCGCTGGCTCCTTTTTTTTCTATTGCAATGGACCTTATGTGCAGCTGTACCTTTACATCTTAGTCATATTACACATAAAAGAAGAGCCCATAAAATACATAATAGAGATTTTAAACTACAATTAAAGCTGCAAGCAGTGTTGGGCGGGCCCTCGCACTTGTAGCGCATCCGGGTGTGAGCCGGCTGAGTTGCACATTCTGGAGCTCTGCCGGTGCGGCTGTGAATTTGCTACTCGGTTCCGACGCTGCATGAAGGTGCTTTGTCTCTTCCTGTGTCCCCTATGTGGAGCTACATAGCACTTGCCGAAATGAATATAAATCGGTATTGGTGTGTAGATGTCTGCAGGGTGGGAGAGTTATCAAGCACGTAAAGTTTGGTGCAGATGTGAGCATGTACACTGAAGTTACAACAACTTCCTGTGTCATGGCGAAGAGTTGATCTTTGACAGGCGAAGAGTTGATCTTTGACGCCACGCCAAGGACACGCCCATTGACGAAAACTTGCAAATAGCACAACTTTTCATCTTCAATGCCTTTAGAAGACACAGCAGAAATTTGAAGTCGGTCGGACTAAATCCCTAGGAGGAGTTCGTTTTCCAAAACTTTGAAGGGTTGTTTAAGTTTTCTGTGATTGACTTCAAATAAAACTCAGATTTGGACTTTCTAATCATCAAAGTACACTTGTTTCTTACCGTTCTAAATGCTGTCCAATCAGCAGAAGAGTTGGAGAATCTAGCTTGTGCCCACATTTTATTTCTCAAACAGATTAGCTCTGATAGGCTGTCTGAGAACCAAGGGTTGTCCTTACCACTGATCCTAAACTTTTTGATTGGTACATGTTTATTTACAATGGAAATGAAATTTGAATGAAAAAAATCCCATGCCATTTCAGCATCTGAAAACAAAGACACCCTGCTGAGATCATTGTGATACAGATCATGCAGAAAAGCCTGTTGATCAAAACTTATTTTTTTAAAATTATATTTCTTACACAAGTGACTGCACAACGGTCACTGACGTCATTACAAAATATGGCAGTTGAGGTATATTTATTATTTATAACTAAATTTGTTATGATTAAATCAAGGAGAGTAGATTTTATTTCTGCTTTGGGATTTATTCTTGTTGGTTCATTAATAAGTTGCACTAAGTTTAGGTCATTACATAAGTCTTTAAAACAATCAGAGTTCCCAGAAAGCCAGTCCCAATTCATATCACCCATAAGAATAAATTCAGAGTCATTAATTTCATGTAATATTTCAAATATAGATTGGAAAGCATCCTTTGAGGCAGACGGAGGTCTATTGCACCCAACTACTGTCATATCAGAGTCTTTTGAGATATTCACTTTCACGGTCAGAATTTCAAACTGTTTAGCTTTAGTTAGTGACAGGTTTACATAAACTTAGATTTCACATATATGGTAACTCCACCTCCTTTGCCAACCCGGTCAGTTCTATAAACTTTATAAACTTCAATAGAAATAAGTTCATCAGGTACAGATTTTTTAAGCCAGGTTTCAGAGATAATAATGATATCAGCATTGGTTGTATTAGCCCAGATCTTGATCATATCCATTTTAGGGACAAGGCTTCTAACGTTTAAATGTATAAAACCAAGGCCATGTCTGCTTTTGAAATCTGAAGGAGTGACTAAGGATTGCAAAGTGTTAGGAGGACCAGGAACAGGACCAGGATTGGGCTGAATATTACCAGATAACATCAATAAAAGCATAATCATACAACGTAGTTTTTGTTTGGCTGGGTAATATTTGTCATTACCACTGTCCTCTATGAACTGAGAAAAAGAGTAATCTGAGACAATAAAATAGTCATTTAACAGCAGTAGATTCTGGAGATACAGGGTCTTATTAACTTGTGAACAGTTTTTTTGGTTACACAGGTTGATTTTCTGGCGGTCATGATCTCATAATGACTTGTAGATGAAGTTGAGAAATTACCATAATTTAACTGTATTAATATACTGCTTCTCATTTTGGTTCATCTAGTACAGGGCTGGACTGTATAAGTATGAAGAGTATAAACAAATGCATGATGTCAAGTTACCAGGTTTAGTTGAAGACAGCCTTAACAAGGGTGAACAGTAGCTTGGAGTCAAAAAGTCAGGGCTACAGGATGGAGGCTAGCAGGGAGGCTTCCAGGTGATAGCTAGCAAGTGGGGCTAGCAGCAGACATAAATGTATGATGAGATTTATATTGATTGTAAAAGACTAGGCTATATATTATTATTATTATTATTATTATTATTATTATTATCAGGCGCCTTTCAGTACACTGAAGATCACTTTACAAAACACAATAAAACAACAGTATATAAATAAATCAATAACATTAGCAAAATAGCCTCTGTCCACTCCCTCTCGCTGCGGACGGTCGGTGATCGTTCCCTCTGCTGGATGAGTCCCGATGCTCCTGTTTTAGGCAGGATCCATGTGCTACTCAGGGCCGGCCATGACAGTGTAGGAGCCCCAGGCGAGATGTGAAATTTTGAGCATTGCACCAATTTATGGTTCATCTCCATCTATATAAAGCGAAACACAATATTCAGGCACTGTGTGACAATTCAAAATATTAAAATTGAATAGAATCCAGGCATTCTGTAGCTATTGCTTTGTGTTTTCTCCTTTAGATCAACTTTTCTAATTTAATAAAATCCCTGCTGAGTCAGCACACATGCTTGGCCTTCCCTTCTCTTTTGAGTCTCCCTTTGGGGAAATAGCCTCTTTTAATCGGCCCACGTGGGACCTTTTCACCTCACTGATAAATTAAGTCATTTTAATTAAATTATAAACTCCTGGACTTTAACAGCTCCTGTGTTTCAGCAGGTTTTCTGCTCATGTTCAAAACATCTCCCATAGTGTCCTCTGACATGTCCAGAAAAAAATCACCATATTACGAGACTGGCGTCATCATTTAATGAGAGTTCATAATATTTTTAATTCTAGCTGGTCTCTGCTCTGCTGGTTTATAGCCTCTCCCCTTTAGACTGTTAGACCAACACAGTTTGGGACAGTATGCTGCATGTGAAACCGAAACCAAAACAGAGAAAGGCTGCGCTTCAGTTTTAAGATATTCATATTGCAAAACTGTAGCCGACCAGTTACGTTACTGTCTGGAATCACAGCGCGAGGTGCACATGATTAAAATCGCCGATGTCGCATCAGCTGGGTGGAGTTGATTCGCCTGAGTTGAAAACCTCTTGCAGCGCAGTTTGTAGCCCCCTGACATTTTTCTTTAATCCCTTTGTTGCTTGTTAGTGATCCCCCTGCGTGTCATCTTCTCTTATTCTGTTGCTTTATGTACTTTTGTTTTGACTGAAGATTTTCATATGAGATGAAAAGATTCAATGAAAACAGTAATTTTGTTTATCGGGCATTTTTTATTAAATAAGCGGTGTTGTTAACCTGTGAATGGTGATACAGAAATGTTGGTGTAGTTTCTGGATTTAAAAATCCAACATGTTTACAGGCGAAGTCACACGTTTGAAAGAAAGGTTCCCCATCGTGCAGCAAAGGCTGTTACACACCTTCAACAAGCAGCACTGGAGGGTTTAATGCTGCGTTCGAGACCGGTCGGAACTGGGATATTTCCCAGTTTAAACTCCCTACATCAAAGTGTTCCAGGTCCACGGTGGTGCATGACGCAGAAAGTGAACGAAAACCGCGGCTGACCGTGACAAAGTGTCCACACAGTTGCACCCTCAGCAGTGCTTTAGGTGTTAATCAAAAGGATGGCAGTTTAACTGCAACAACTGACATAAATAGCCTTACTAGTTAACTGTGTACCCCTCTAGCTACATCAGCTGGTAGCCCTCAAGTCAGTCAGTGTTGTAGGTTACACTCCCTAATGTTTTGGCATTTTTAACAATAACTTTTATGCAGAGAAGGTTTTGAGATTCTTTTCTGTAGCCAGCTACCTAATGACATATTTCTACATCAATATACATGCAGAACAGGTTTTACTATATGACCGTATGTATTATTTTAATTTAAATACATGCAAATATACTTTTTGTTGCCTTTTAGTTTATGGTTTACCATTAACGTAAACATTATGTGCGCTTCCATGGGCGCCGCCATTGTTTTGTGACGTCATTCAGCTGCTACTCGTGACGTCGGGTTACAGATTTTTACTCCAAGTAGGAAATCCGACTTCAGGTGGCTTCAAGGATAGTTTTTCTAGTTTAGGTCGCAAGTTTCACAGTTCCGAGTTTCCTGGAACGCAGCATAACAACCCGCTACCACTCCGGCCTCAGTGAGGCGGACCCTCAGCGTGAACGCGCAAACGGAGAGGACGTACTTCCGGAAAGGCCCGCAGCCTGAAGAGCTCCGAGACCAGAATCCAGACTCAGTCCAGGACAACACGGTCCACCAGTCACAGCGGAGACCTGCAGGACGATGGAGAACCAGAACCCGGACCACAGGAGCCAAACAGCAGCCTCGTGCTCTGATAGCGCCGATGTTCAGGTCAGTGTTCATGACTTCATCACGAGACTAAAGACACGAGGAAGAGTCTCGAGGGTCCGTGTATCATCCGTTCATTCTGTTGTTAGAGATCAGAGCCTGAAAACCCGCTCCAGGGTTTGTGTTGACGTGGTTTGATTTCCAAAGTGTCTCCGTGATTCCTGTTTTCATCTTGAAGAGAGGAAGCTGAAAGAAAAACTCACGAGCGTTTCTCTTTTCTTTGTTCTGGGAGTTTCGCGCTCGGTGCATGCGCAGTTTTCCTCCACTGGTGCTCAGCTTTTCTACACATCCGTTCACATCAAAGGGAAAACAAAATGAAGCCCTCAGCTGTGTGGCAGCACTTTAAACTGAGGGATGACAGCAGCAGCGTGGCAGTTATGGTGTTTATTCATTTTACAGTTGCTTCATTTCTTTACAGATTAATTAATCAGTGGCCTAAACTGTAACAACATAATGACCACATTAAATCATTGTTTTAGACCGACTGAAAAAGAACATGTAGTCGGTTCAGCACTCGCCTAATCTTCTTCTCCTCCCCGGCTCAACCTCCCCTCCCTTCAAACCCCGCAGTGAATACAGGTGAAACTCGGAAAAATTAGCATATTGTGCAAAAGTTAATTTATTTCAGTAATTTAACTTAAAAGGTGAAACTAATATATAGCAGATTACATGCAAAGTGAGATATTTCAAGCCTATATTTGATATAATTTCGATGATTATTGCGTACAGCTTATGAAAACCCCAAATTCAAAACACGCTGCGCCATGTTTCACATGTGTGCACAGACAGTAGCATCATGTCACAGCCACACAGGCTAAAACATGTCTTAGGTGTGTGGAAGTTATTCACGAGAGTGAAGAAGAGTCGACGCTCACTACATCTGCAGAGAAACACAGAAAGAGACGCTGTGGATTTTGTAAATCAGGGAGCAGGTAAAGACACAGTGACGATGTCATTCAGACCTTTCAAATATGGGTGTTCCCTCTGTCTGGATTAAGCCAAACTCTCCTGATTTTATATGTGATCCATGATGATAAAGAAAAATAGAAATTAATGGCAAAAATAGCATATTGTCAATATTTTAAAGAGCCACCAAAATATCTCATCATGTTTTCTGGGGAGTTCATGTCTTGTTAAGAGGAGTTCAGCTCCCCCTAGTTCGCACCCTGGCCGTAGCCTCGAGGGGGAAAAATAAAACCGTGATAAATATTTTCGGGTGTTTTCGAAAATTACTCAGGTAACCAGCTGCTTCAGATCCGCCCAAAGCAAAATGCTACCTGGATGCTGACGTACTTAATCAATAGTTGCCTGGAAATAGGAGCACTCTGTGCAAGTAAAGGCCACAACCTACCGGTATCACCCCCGCCCCATCGCTAATCATTCAAAACAACATCTGACCGGCCGCCATGAGCACTGAGAGAAATCCCAGTGGGCGGGTCGCGCTGCGGCTGCATGGGCAGCTCGTTTTACAAAAACGGCGTGAGACAATGCGTCAGCAGGTGAGGCGTTGAGACAGAAGGCAGCAGGGAGAAGATAAGAGAGGTTTGCGTTTGGCTAGCTGCCTCTTTAGCTATGTCAGGTGCCTTATTTTGAAACGTTCGACAGTGTAATTTTTCTACATGCAACCAATAGCTTTTAGCCGGTCGACTCAGAATAGGCAAGTGTACGAAGTTCAGAAGGCCAGAGGTGCGGACAAGTTGGGGGACGAAGGCTGAGGACAGTGGCGCTGAGGTTAGCACAACAAGCAGGATCGGCGTGGTCAGTGAATTTTACAACATCAACGGAGAGACAGGTGTGGATGAGACAAGGACGGTGTCTTTGTGTCGGCGATGCGCCGCTGTTGTAGAGTAACATTATGTGAATGTAAACATCCAACTTTCTAATACACGTTCAACTTAACTTACATCACCCAGATGCACCGGGAAAAGAAAAAAAAAAATGGAGCCCAACTCCTCATCCCCGCTGCTTTCAAGCCAATACTATATAATACTATATTTCAAGCAGCCTTTAGATGCAAGAACAGAACAGGATGAATAATCACATTACCTTATCTAGCCACGGTGAAACTAATTGTAACAACTCATACTGCACAATTTATTTATTTTTTTTGATTTCACACCATAAGAGTTCTTAGTGCAACAAATATTGTACTCATTTCACAGGTGTCATTAACACGGGACGCTGGGGAATATGTTCTGCAGAATGGCTTGCAACAAGAAATGTTCAAAAATAAATGGAATTGCTTTGAGTTTATTTGCACAATAATAAAACATGCAATGTAACAAAAATATAGAAGAAACAAATGAGCATTTTCCAAAAAAGTAACAAGCTGCTAAGTATTATATTCTGTTTGAAATGTCATCTGAATTTTCTGAAAATGTCTCCAGAATGCAGGAAAGTGTTTCATGCCCAAATTTTCCCCCATTTTATATCAGCATTGAATATTTCATCAAAATAGTGTTAAAATGTCTTCTGCTTCTCGTGAACCCAATATTGTGCATGTGAGGCCCCTGTCCTGTAAACATACTGTACACACTCCTGATAATTATATTTCAGTGTTCAGAGGAGTCTGACAACTGGTTGTTAAAGAAATGAAGGCGTGACCATGGAGCTGAGGTCAATGAAGCAAATTAGGGATGCAATCTAGTCCTTTTCAGCTAATTAGGAGATGTTTCTTTTGGATTTTAATGCGCAAATTAAACACTTAATATATATTAATATCAAGGAATTTGATCAAGAAAATATAGAAATATTTGAATGTATATCGAATTATTTATGGGGACCTCTTCATAATAAATGTATTGCAAACAGATGTTAAAATACTATAATACTATTTATACAATTCACAATGTGTCACGATCCTGTCCTGAGTGTGTCTGGGTTTCAGTCCTGTCTGGGTTTTTGTTCCATGTCTGTGTTCATAGTCCTGTGTTTTAGTTCTTGTCTTAGTGTTCACTCCTGGTCGGTGTACTTCTGTGTTTTGCCCATGTCTGAGTTCTGTTTTACCTTAGCTTCTGTCTGTGTTGCTTGCTGGTGTTAGTTCATTTGTGATCTGTCCGCTTGTTCATATTACTCTGATGTTTAGTGTTGAGTAACTTGTCTTTTCCCCCCTCAGTAATCTGCCTGCCTGCTAGTCTCTGTTTTCCCTTCTGTCTCTCTGCCTCGTTAGCCTCATGTCTGTCACCTGTGTTGCTCCCGCCCTGCTCGTTAGTCCCTGTGTGTCTGTATATATACCTGGTGTTTCTGTCTAGTTTGTCTGGTCATTGTTCATGTTACCCCCCAGTCTGTCGTGCGTGTACTCTCTGCCTGCCTGTAACCAGCCTTGCTTGTCTTGTCTCCCTGTACTTTTGGATTTTGGATTTCTGTTAACCAGCCACTCAGTCAGTAAGTGTGCTCGCCTTTAGTTTGTTTTCCATCATTAAACCTCCGTTGAACTATACCTGCTCCGCTCTGTGTCCTGCGTTTGGGTCCTCCAACCTGCCTCCACACCACTAATCGTGACACAATGAATGAATTTCTGTGGTACATGTATTGTGAATTGGTACCTGTCAAACAGGACAGCCTCCATATGCTGCTGAACACACGGTAAGAAGTGGGTCTGACGGAGGCTACAGCTCTCCTCCGTCGTTGGGTGGTGATGGGGAACAGTGGATAAGACACATGCCTTTGGTGTGAGAAACCGGGGTTCAATTCTCTACTGAGACTCCAGTGTGTCCCTGAGCAACACACTCAACCCCTAGTTGCTCCGTCGTTGATCTGTCTGTGGAGGACTGGGGAGCCCCGCCCTTGCTGAAACGCAGAGGACGAATGAGCAGCACCGATAAACACCAGAACAACATTGCGCAACTTAAATTCAAATTAACTTAACTTTTGAGGCGCCGAGCGAGAAGCAAATTAATTTCCTGTGTGGGAGAAAACAGCTTTATCTCGTGTCGTGTAGAAATGTTGCAATTAACACCTGTGCCAGGTCGGGAAAGTGGCCTTGTATGGTCCGTCAATATCCGAGAGGGTTATTGCTCCTGGGGATGGGACTTCTGAGAGAGAACCATCTAACTGTTGAGCGGTTTAGCTTAGTCCTCTATCTTGCATTTGGTTTATTCTCTTGTGGGATCTTATCTCAACATGTCAGACACCGAGGCTGTACGCGGTTCATCTGTAGTATGGGGCTTTTTTCTCTATGCGCTGCCTCCCCCATCTCCTGTGCTGTGCGTCCCCTGACCGTCTCCATCACCAGACGGCTTTAAATTCGTTGCCAACAAATTTAATAATCGATTCATTCATGACGTCATTGCTCCGTAGCGACACCGTCAACTAGGGCTGGACAATATTGCCAAAAATGTTATCACAGTATGTTTCATATCTTTCAATATCACGATAAGTATCAAATTGTTATTTCTTTTCAGTTTAAAGGCTGATTTTTGCTCCTGAGTTAAAGTTGAAGAAACCTGATGGTTAATTGTGGTTTAAAATCTTCTTTATATTCAACACTTGAAGCCAAACAGTGGATCACTTTACAAATCTGAGGTAGAACATACAAAACATTTATGATAAAATCTTTGTCAACAAATATCTATTTAAGTAAAATTAAGTAAAAGCTTTTTTCAGTCCTTTTTCTTCAACAAAATACATCTTATTAAAAAATTAAGTCCTAATTCATGTTTGATTCAAGTGAATAAAATCAAACATTTATTGAATATTTAGAGGTCCCTATTGAAACTGTAATTATATATATTTTTTCTTCTTTCTGCAAAGTAAGCTCAATTTTGGAGGCCTAAACATACTCAAACTCAGCAAATTTTGCACACATGTCAGAAGTGGTGAAAAATTTCATATTTTATGGGTTTCGCGCATGGGTGTTGCAAAATGACTCGCTAGCGCCACCTAGAAAATTGGAAAAAATTTGCCCCTCGTCCACATGGGACATGTATCATATCAAGACGCACAAAAAAGCCTCAAGAAACCATATCCTAAACTCAACAGGAAGTCGGCCATTTTGAATTTTACGGCAATTTTTGGACTATTTACACACTCCGTACTTCAACGAACTCCTCCTAGGGATTTATTCGGATCGACTTCGACTTTCTGCTGTGCCTTCTAAAGGCATTGAAGATGAAAAGTTGTGCTATCTGAGTTTTCGTTGATGGGCGTGTCCATGGCGTGGCGTCAACTCTTCGCCATGACACAGGAAGTTGTTGTAACTTCAGTGTACATGCTCACATCTGAACAAAACTTTATATGTAGGATGAGAGTCCCACCCTGAACACATCTACGCGCCAATATTTATTTCTAGTCATAGCGCCAAGTGCTATTTAGCGCCACAAAGGGGATACAGGAAGTGACATATAACACCTTCGTGCTATAGCGAATTCACCGCACCAGCAGAGCTCCAGAATATGCAACGCGGCCACCTAATGCCCCCACGCACTACAAGTGCAGCTTTAATAACTATCAATATTTTTTTTACAGTCAGTTATTAACTTAGCCTCTGGCATTTTACAGAGCATAAATTAGCCTAGTGGCTAGCAACTTTTCCTCTCCTTATAGACTTACCTTAAAGTCACTGCATCTCCCGACACAACACCACGGTTGAATTTTCAGCCTGAATGTACATTTTCTACAGCTGCTGGTCGTAATGACGTCAACAAGCTGGAGGACTGCCGAGTCGTTTTCAGGTAGCAGAAACAGGGCGCAAGATGTAAACACGTAAGTGCGAGCCCTCCTGGAACCCGCAGAAATTGCATTGCAGCGGCCGCAGCTTGAAAAAAACTGTCTTTACATGAAAGTCTATGAGAGCGATCTGGGCGATTTTCAACCAGACTGAATTTGCCCCAAAAGAGGCGGGACTCAGCTGTCACAGCTCAGTGTGGTAGAAAGTGTGAGAAAAATATCCTCTGCTTTTCCCGGCTTGGCGGTGCGTCGCCCTAATGAACAAGCCGCCCCTGGGTGGCGGGTAATCTGCCCCACAGTCCCTTAAAAAAAATATATAGGTTTAGGGGACACAGTATAAACTTTATGAAACCCTGTCTACTACAAAATTATTATTGTTGGTCCCCTCTTGTAATTTTGGCCTTTAAAACAGACACCACCCACCCAGTCTGCAGTCAACAAAGCTGACTTTATCACTGTTTATGTTAATACATTATCTCTTAGGCTACTGGCACTCACTGAGACCTGGATCAAACCAGAAAACTCTGCTATCCCCGCTGCGCTGTCCACCAATTACTCTTTCACCCACACCTGGGACCAGGCTCTTAATTTCCAACAAAAGGAAATTCACACAGCTGCTGCACCCAAATCAATATGCCTCCTTCAAATATCATGCTGTCTCGGAATCCGCTCCGGTAAAGGTCTCTATGATTGTCATACCGTCCACCAGGACAAGTGCGTAACTTTGTGGACGAGCTAGAGACACTGCTGTCTTCAATCCCAGAGCATGACGTTACTTGTCCTCAGTGACGTGAACATTCACTTAGACAAATGAAAATCTGCAGACTTCCTGTCTCCGATTCAGTCCTTGATCTAATACAGGCTCTCAGCCCCCCGACCCGCAAAGCTGGCAAGGTCACATGTCTGACCACTGTTTCATCCAGTTCATGGTATGCCTACAGGAACAGTCTATTGTTCCAGCATCTTATGTCTCACAACGACGCAACCTTTGCAACCTGTCTCCCACTCACTTTGCCTCAGTGGTAGCTTCCGCTCTACCTCCCCTCAACACATTTTCCTCACTTAAGGTCAATAATGCAACACAATCTCTTTGCTCTACACTGAGCTCATGTCTGGGTAGTGCCATGCCTGTGTCCTCTATCCACCAAACCTGCTCGCCAGAAACAGTCCCACCTGAGACTAACTGATACCATCCGCGCGCTCCGTACTGATCTCAAAGCCGCTGAAAGAAAAGGGCAAAAAACCAAAGACAATGGCGACCTTAAGGGCTGTCAGTTGCTTCTGGTGCAAAAGGCTCAACACCAAGGCTAACATGTAGCAGTCCTACTACATCTGTTCCTCTCTCCTCCCAGGTCAATGGCATTTCACACTCATTGTTAACTCCTCTCACAGAGAGCGAAGTATCAGGACCCCTGACCCATAGCCGTCCTACTACATGCCCACTGGAACAGATTCCTACGAATCTCCTACCGTGGTCCTGGCAATCATTCATGTGATAAATACTCTGGCTTCGGGAACATTCCCGACCACTTTCAAAAGGGCTAAGGTTACACCCTTGCGCAAAAAGCCCTCCCTCGACCCAACTCAAGATGAGAATTGTCTGCCAGTTTCACTTCTACCATTTCTATCCAAAACTATTGAAGTCAATAAGGGCAGTCTTCAAACAGGTCTCAGAATTTGTCTCACGGAATGACCTCCCAGATCCATATCAGTTTGGTTTTAAGAGTGGCCACTCTACTGAAACGGTTCTTCTGTCTGTAACAGAAGCCCTCAGGTCAGCTAAAGCTGCAGCCCAATGCTTGGTTCTTGGTTCAGCTGCCTTTGACACAGTCAACCACAGAATCCTGCTATCCGCGCTCTCAGCAATGGGCATGTCCGGCAAAGCACTCATGTGGTTCGAATCCTACCTCTCAGGGAATTCCTATAATGTTTTGTGGCAAAGACAATTATCTTACTCCCACTTCCTCTCCACAGGGGTGCCCCAAGGCTCAGTGCTAGGGCCCCTTCTCTTCTCAGTTTACAGCACCTCACTGGGGCCGATCATTCGCTCGTATGGCTATTCTTACCACTGCTACGCAGATGACATCTTGGCGCAGATCTCAGACTGTCTCTTGGACATTTACGCATGGATGAAGGCTTGCCACCTTCAACTAAACCTCTCTAAGACTGAACGCTTGGTCATTCCAGCCAAGCAATCTATCCACCATAACATCCAACTACAAATTGACTCCTCTACCATCACTCGAACCAGAGTGGTGAGAAACTTGGGTGTCATGATTGATGACCAGCTGTCCTTTTCAGACCTTGTTGCTGCTGTCTCCCGGCTGTGCTGCTTTGCTCTATACAACATCAGGAAAATCAGGCCCTACCTCACTCAGTACGCCACCCAGCTTCTGGTACAGGCCATGATTATCTCTCGGCTCGACTATTGCAATGCCCTCCTAGCAGGTCTTCCAGCTTGTGCGGTGAAACCCTTACTAATGGTTCAGAACGCAGCAGCACATCTGGTTTTTGATATTACTCAGTGATCTCCACTGGCTACCTATGGCCTCCCGAATCAAATTCAAGTCACCAATGCTTGCATACAGAGTGACTACTGGGTCTGCACCCATCTACCTAGTTTACGTTCCTTCCCAGCCTCTAGGCTACTCCAATGAACGCCGCCTGGCTCTGCCATCCCTTCACACAAAGCAATCCCAGTCCCGGCTACTCTCATCTGTGACACCACGATGGTGGAACAAGCTACCACACGCCATCAGAGCAGGTGGTGCCTCTCTAACTTCAAGAAGCTCTTCAAAACTCATCTCTTCCAAGAACACTTCCTCTTATAACACAGCTAACTCCTAACCTCTAACATTTCTTCTTCTATCCCCTTAGAACTATGTTGTATTGACTGAACTTTTTTCCCTAGGTATTTACCCCATTGATGCGATATCTTCTATTAGCTTTTGCTAAAAATGTCTGTCAAATGAGTTATTGTAATGAAGTTATTCCTTTCTTTGTATAAATATAGTGTCTGTTTCAGACTAACTGGCTACCATTAAGTACAATATTTTTAAAAGTAAGTACTCTAACCACTACTGTGCACTAACATTGTAATGTGTATTTAGAATACAGATGCAACAGTCCACTTCTGTCTCCAATCTCAGTCCGACATCAGCAAGACTTGTGTGCTATCTGCGTTGAGTTAGAGTGAGCCTCTCTTTGACCCTTCAGAAATGCACTGCAAGTCTGCATTGCAGTTTGGTTTTTCACGGGTGGTAATGCATTAGTCAGACTTGAACATTGTGGGGTGTGTTCCACAGACATGCTCTAAATGTCATCTATGGTTCTGAATAGTGGGATGTCACTGTGGAGCGAGCTAACTGTCTGTCTTTCTCTCTGTATGTCTGTCAATGTAGAAACGGAGAGGAGGAGATGGACTCAAACGTCACCACTGTCAGCTCTGTGACAAATCCTTCACAGCATGCTGGTATTTAAAGATTCATCAGAGAGTTCACACTGGAGAGAAACCGTACAGCTGTGACCAGTGTGAGAAAACGTTCACTACATCAGGTGACCTAAGAATCCACCAACGTGTTCACACTGGAGAGAAACCGTACAGCTGTGACCAATGTGGGAAAGCTTTCACTCAGTCAAGTCACCTAACAATCCACCAACGTGTTCACACTGGAGAGAAACCGTACACCTGTGACCAGTGTGGGAAAACTTACATTTCATCAGGTGCCCTACAAAAGCACCGCCGTGCTCACACTGGAGAGAGACCGTACTGGTGTGACCAATGTGGGAAATGTTTCACTAGTTTTAGTAGTCTGTATGTCCACCGACGTGTTCACACTGGAGAGAAACCATACAGATGTGACCAATGTGGGAAAATGTTTGCTACATCAGATGAATTAAAACAGCACTATCGTGTTCACACTGGAGAGAAACCTTACAAGTGTGACCAATGTGGGAAAGCTTTCACTACATCAGGTCAACTTAAAGTCCACCAACGTGTTCACACTGGAGAAAAACCGTATGGCTGTGACCAGTGTGAGAAGTCTTTCTTTACATCAGAGAGACTAAAAATCCACCAACGTGTTCACACTGGAGAAAAACCATACGGCTGTGACAAATGTGGGAAAGCTTTTGCTGCATCAGGTGATCTAAATATCCACCGACGTGTTCACACTGGGAATAAACCGTACTGGTGTGACCAATGTGGGAAAGTTTTCTCTAGATCAAGTATATTAATTGTCCACCAACGTGTTCACACCCGGGATAAACCATACAGCTGTGACCAATGTGAGAAAACCTTTACTCAGTCTGGTAACCTTAAACGCCACCAACGCATTCACAGTGCTTCGGTTTAAACATTTTTCAGATCCAAACAAGCTGTTTCCTCTTGCCCTGATAGCTGTGTTGTTTTATTAGCAAGCATAGTGTTAGCTCAGGCAGGCAATGAAGTCAAGCTCTGCTCTCAATCCAAGCCCATCAGCTAATTCCTCTCTTAGCATTAGTTGTTAATTTGAATATAAGGTATCTTATATAAGCTGCTATAGTCTGCTTGCGCTTGCTGCTTCTTCTGCAAGCAGCTCATAAGCACTGGACACCTGTCCAGTTTCAGACGCTGATCCTCGAGGCCCAGCCCAGCAGCCCACTCCACAGTGGATAATCATCCTGACAACTGGTCCAGGATCCATTCATCGCTCGCCAGCACAAACTATATTCAAGCCCTGGCAAGTCAAGTTTTCCTGGCACAGCTGGCTGTTTTCCTCCCCGGGTGCAGGCCTGTGACGCCTGGCGATTACTTCCCTCTGGCAGCATCGGAGGTATCACTGTCCGTCAGAGATCGCTGTGAAGAGCAGTTCCAGTCTCCTCTGTGGGTTCCTTTTGTTCTTTCTTCTGCCACAATCTCTCCCTGAGCTGAGAAAAGCTCTGGGGAAACATCCCCACAACTTCCTGTCAAATAGTTGATTGCAGGATTGGTTCAGGGGCCTGACTTGGTTGCCAAGTGTCATTTATTTGTAAAAATTAAGTCACATTAATTATCTTTAATGTAGTAAGCTTGCAAGCTTACGCTAAAGCCTCGAATGTACTCAAAGCGGACGCATACGCGCACAGCTGAGGACACCAGGGACTACTTCTAAACTACTGTCAGGTCGGCGGACTTGCTCCACCCATGTGCAGTGTTTTTGTTTTTGGGCGCTTTCCATTTAGGCGCGTGGAAGGGAGATCCCAGAACAGAGCCAAACATACCGGAAAAATGATTTACGAGCACAATGTGCAAGTAACCTATCAGAAAGATCAGGTGTGCCAGTATGTGCTCCTTCTTGCCTCCTCCTGAGAGCAACACGTTCCCCTGGTTTTACTAAAGTTATAGTAATACTATTCAGTAGTCTTGTTTATATCAGGTGTGTAGTGGGTTGTGTGGGTGCTGCTGGTGGATCGTGAATCCGTCCCTGGTTCAAAAACTACATAAGCACCAATTACAGTAACGTTTATTGTGAGTGTTTTAAATGCTTTTTTCAATGTATCAAATTTTCAAAATATCTGTTTCAATATTTTAGAAATCCTTTACAAATTATTAAGGCCGATGCCGAGTGACCAGATAACAGGGTCTTCACTTCCGTACTCCTCCAATGGTTTCACAAGGAGAAGACAACACACGTAGAGTCAATATGTATATAATCAATAGTTACTTGAACATTTTCTGCTGTGTTCCAAAAAAGGTTAGCGTAGAGCCCTGCAATGGATCGGGCTCAGTTGTCATCTCCTCGGAGGAGGTTTACTTCAACTGTAAGTGTACTTCTGCGTCGAATCGACGGCATAGGGGGCTACGCCGTCGCCTGACATGCATGTCCTCAAAAATGTAACAACACGTCAAGTCGACGCGGACAGTAAGCTCTGTGATTGGTCGGCTGGGTAGTCTTGCAATGCCTCAGAGCCAACAGGAAGTGTCCCGTGCTTTGAAGTAACTTTTACTAGCGGCCAAAACAGCGTGCTGAAACACGGTGGATCGACCCCGAGCAAAATGACTCGTTCCTCTATCAGAATGTGATCCATTCGGTCGGTAACATTTGAAAAGGCTACACCTGCCGCTAAATTAACGGAGCGCTAAGAATAAGTATAAATTCCTGGCTACGTGCGTAGACCCTACGCAGGAGTAGAAATCAACTTAACTCTTCCCCTCCTGTGGAGCCTGAATCGGCTTTTTTGACACGCCATTTCATTTCCTTGTTCATACTGTGTCGATCTCAAAGCTGCAGATCATTGGCAGAAGGAAACAAAACGATCTAAATCATGGTTGTATTAGTTCGTTACCCAAACATGGTCTTCCACATGACTGCTTTTGGACAGAGGCAGCGATCTGTGGACATTGCGAGTCACCCTCAGAATTAAATATATGGGTGATGCTGTCCTTCATTTGACTCTGTGGACATTAAGGCACTGTCAGGTTGTCAGGCTAAAACATTTACTGTGGGCTACAACTTCAGTAATCACCGTTTAAATCAAACTAATCTGTATTAAGCTGTAACCTAAATGAACAGTCATCTGTCATGTTGTGATTAGTCGCACTGATTGGATCGTAGTTATCGTGCTGGAGCTGATGTGAATGTTTCTGAGTGAGATGACAGGGGTGCAGCTGGAACAAATAAAGTGAGTTTGTTAATATTTTCTGCTTATAGTCTTAATGTGTTTTGACCACATTTTATTAAATATGAAATGAGCAAGATTTTAGAATAGAAGTCTAAAAGTCAGACACATTTTCCACAGAAAGAAAATAATGAATAGCCTGCTGTGTGGGACTGTGGCTTTACAATCACAGGTCCATGAGTAAACTGTGTCTAACGTTGTAGTGCATGTATTCTACATATACGTCTGTAGCATTAAATGTCTTATCTGTTTCTCTGGGTCAGACTCTGTAATCGCCCTCTGGTGTATGACACTCTTTAATAAATATCACAAAGACAACTGTTTGTTGTAACTTCTTTATTTGTTTCTTCTTAAGGAAATATACAATTTCCACCACCGATCAGTTAAAAACCGCTCTGATAATAATGCGCCTCCACCAATTTTATTTAGATTTTATAACTTTAGTCCTGCCCTTAGGGATTCATTAAACTCACCAGCCGCTTGGATCCTGAAGGAAGTTTGTTACTCCCAACATAACGTCTTCATACCGACAGAAGACTCAGACGCACTGTTCTTTTACAGAGAGAAGAAAAGCCTCTCTTCAGAGTCAACGCCGCTGTTTCCTCTCGCTGCCGCCGAAGGATCAGCTGTGCATTGACCGCGTTGCCAGTACGTTACCCCGATCCTTGTCAGAATCTGAGACGAGAGCAGCTCTGCTGGATTTCCTACATGGACTGACGCTTTATTATCGCTATCGAGACTAGTTTTTACATCTGTTTCATTGTAAACGTACAAATTTCATTGTGGACAATATTCTGTGGAGGATTACCGTGTTGTTAATGGACCACTGCGTCCTGATTCTTGCGGTTGGTTCTTCCTCGCTCCACGTTTCGTGTTTTGTATCGGTTCCATGTCACTGCCGTGCCTTTCTTCCTCCCACGCTCTACGAGGATTCACACATATACACAAAAAAAATCCAGCTGTGCTCCACGTTTTGTATCAGACTGGGACATAACCACCCACACCTCGCTCTTCTTTTGATCTCACACCAAAATACAAAATAATTGTGTATTATGTGGTTGGTTGTGAGGATCAGTGAACTCTTAATGTGGACAGAAATGTCTTCACATTTGATTTTTGGTCCCTGATTCCAGGATGGTGCCCATTTTATTTATGATTTATTTATATTAAAGTCAATATTTATAGTTAATACGTTAATATTTCTAAAAAACATTAATAATTAGCTTATAATCAAACCTGCCTCTACATTGGCGCCAACTTAGAAACCCAAAATATCTCCTGCCACTTCACAAAAATATGAAGTGACCAGTTTCTCACTGGGAGCCTGCGGCCGCCAGTCATGTTGAACGGCTATTTGGGCTTAACTTTTAGGTTTTTAAAATAAGCTCAACTTTGTTTCTTTTCTCTCCGTCTTTAATGCATCTTTCAGCCGGTTTGCCAACCGCTAATAAACACTAAAGAAGAAGAAAAATGGAACTCTCCTTCTTTGTCGTCGTGATAGGAGGCTGTTGTCTTGTCTGTGTTGTTTAACTGGCGCCCCCTCAGCGAGCGAGCTTGCTTGCTGACTAACCAGCTGATGTTATGGACATAACGTTGTTTACATGGAGAGGTAAACCTCACAGAGAGAAGCAGCGTCAGATAGTGAACCAAGTGTTTCAGGTTTTTGAGTCCGCAGCTGTAACACTTGAGTTCAGTGACTGTATTGCTGGCTAGTTAGATGTTATTAGGTGAAATTATCTCGCTATTAGAGATGTTCGGTGATTCTGAGGCTTGTTTCCTTCCTGTGAAGCTGCACAGTTTCAGTAAATTGTGTCTGAGCTTGTCTCAAATGATCATTTTCCAGCTGATCTCTGCACATTAGTGGGATAAGAAGAGAGAATAATTGAGAATATGGCGATAAAGATTAGAAAGTATGATTACATTTCCTCCTGATGACAAATATACCAAGTAGCCTATAGATGCATCTGCTGTAAAATAATTGAATAAATTGGAAAAGTTCATTTTCTTCCATAATTTAATTCAAATATACGCTTATAAATATTTCAAGCCTTTTTTCGGTTTAATCTGGATGTGTCGGGTTTACAGCTCATAGAATCAAAACTATAGTAACCCAAAATTTATTAGAATTTCAGAATAAATTATTATACAGAAATGTCGACCTGAGAAGAGCTCTCTTATCAGCTAATTGACTCAAAACACCTGCAAGAGTCTTAATCTCTCACTCTGGTTCTGGTGCTCACAATTAACTTTTCCACCATATTCAAAAAAAAAATCAGATTTTAGATGCTCCTGTACTAATGTTACAAAAGCAATAATTGTCTAATTTAATGAATATCCCTGTCCAATCACATCACATGTCTGAATCTCATAAATACAAAACCTTTTTGACTAAAATTATTAGTATCAGCGAGTTATGGTGGCATTTCAGTCCCAGTCTAAAAGTGTGCTATAAGTTTACACGTCACAAGATGCAGCTGTGTTTGCTTAGCTTAAAGCTTCATAATGCTTCATCCACTCATCACTACTCGCTAGCTAATGTCAGCTGATTTGACTGTGTTTGAGGGACTATTTTGTCCCACAGATGAGTTAGAGGAGGAAGGACAGGCATCACAGCGAGGGACAGTAGCTGGATTAACTGCATATTGGTGATCCAGGGACTCCAGAAGAAGTTGCAGGTGTAAGCAGGTGAAATGAAGGAGGGACAAGAGATGAAAATGTGTTTAGAAGGAAAGAGTGAATAGAAAATCAGTAAAGGAGCTCAGATGCCAGAAGTAAATGTAAGAGAATAAGAAACGGGGAGAACGTCTGGTTCAGAGGAGTCCATGAAGTCTTCCAGAAGATCCAATGTGATCATTAGAAGGCAGTTTAAATACTGGGGTCAGCCAACAGCACACGAACCGTTCAGGACGCCGCTTTTTATGTGGCCTAATGGCAAAACACCATAAAAATAACTGAGCGTTCAAACGGCGCTTTTTATGCTGTTTTTTAATAAAACGGGCTAGGAAAGTGGCATGTTGTGATGTTTTTGGCGTTCCATATATGTTAGTATCGCCTCAACTCGCTTGGAACCTCAACGGAAGTGATACAAAAAAAAGTGCCGAGTAGCAGGTACAACTTTTCCCTAATGGAAAACCTAAAAAGGCGAGTCGGGCTGGTACTGTGCAGTGGAACGTCTGGTGTGGAGGGTTTATATCCTGAACCAGAAAACTTCCAATAAATAAAACATTGAATAAATTAGTAACTAAAGCTGTCGATAAATGTAGTGAAGTAAAAGTACAATATTTCCCTCTGAGAAGTGGAGCAGAAGTAGAAAGTAAAGTACAAGTACCTGAGTGTTGTACTTGAGTACAGCAGTGTAGTAAATGCGCTGTTGTGTTA